TATTTATTTATCTATCTATCTATCTATCTATCTATCTATCTATCTATCTATCTATCTATCTATCTATCTATTTATTTACATTAAAGAATTATTTCCCTCAGGCGTGATCACCAAATCACCCATAATCCTCCACCATAGTCTATTGTGCTCATCCCAACTCTTTACCCCTCTCCTTTTTCTGATTCCTTCTCCTCTTATGCTGGTTGCTTTAGATCTATGGTCAAGGGTTGGTTTTAAAGTTTGTCTTTTGTTTGGTTTCTTTATATTTCACATATAAGCGAAAATGAATATTATTTATCTTTTTCCTTCTGACTTATTTCATTTAGGATAATCTCTTCCAGTTCCATCAATGTTACCACAAATGGCATGAGTTTACCTTTGTATGAAGCAGCAGCACTATTTACAATAACCAAGAGATAGAAACAACCCAAATTGTTTCAGGATAGACGAGTGGATCGAGAAGATGTGGCACATATATACAAGTGTATACTCCTCAACAGTCAAAAAGATAGACCCTTACTTGTAACTACCAAGCCTTCAGACACTGTTCCAGAAAGAAACATTAGGGGTTTACTGCTTCATCACAACAAATTTTTGTATTTATGAAAAATCTCTCATATATACATACATGCACATACACACATGTATCTTTAGAGGTTTTCTTATTTTTTAAAATGTATTTTTTGTTGAGGTAATATTGGTTTACAATACTATGTGTGAATCAGAGACAGAGGCTCAAATCTCTTTAGATATATAATAACATGCCACACTTACCTCCACAGTACCCATAGTCCATTGGGACCCTTTCTGATTTATATTGATAGCTACTTAACTATATACAGATAAATACATTTAATTGTTTTTTTATTGACAGCTTCTAAAGAGATGCACATTAAACTAAGCTCAAGCTTGTGATTTGTTGTATATTCAATAATAAACAGTTTGTGGTTTTGATTCAAACAGAACTCTGCCAAATTTCTGTGATGCTGTAATTAACACTATGCATGTATTTTAATTGAAATCATGATAGAAGGTGGAAAACTGGAGCATTATCTATATTGAATCATATCTCTATATATTTTCCTTTCTGATTATATGAGATGGTTCATTCTGTTGAAACTAAAGGTACGTATTATAAAAGACTCAAAATATTACAGAAGAAACTTGCTAATAAACCAACAGAAATATATACCTTTGCATTATTATGGTTATTTATTAGTACTATCTAGGAAAAAAGGCAAAAAAGTAGATTCTACAAATCAGTAATAATTCTGTTCCTTGGGAATAATTTCTCTATAAATCCCAGTTCAAACAATTTAATTATAGTTTGAAGACTGCTTTTTCCTATGCATTTAAATTTATTATCATATTTTATTTTCATAGCGTTTGCTACTATGATAGAGCCCATAGTATAATTATATCTGAACACAGAAAATAATGTTGAGGGAGAAATAGTAGAAATAAAATTTTAAAATTCATAAAAATTGGTGTACCCTGTAATATTTTAGAAAAACAAACTAGTTCACTTTTTAGCACATCTATTAAGAAAAAACCTTATGAAGTTTTTTTTTAAATATGACTTACTAGGACCCTTCCTGGTGGCACATTGGGTTAAAGCGCAACACTAAGAAGCAAGAAGCATGAGTTCCGAGTTCCATCCCTGCCCAGGTTCTATCCCACGGGGTGCAGCAGGCCTCTCCTGTCTCACCTGCTGCTCCCCTCAGCAGCGGTCATGTCAGTCGTCAGTCCACTCGCTCTGCTCCCCACTCTGTCTCTGGTGAATCCTCTCACAGCTCTTGCACCTCTGGCCTGTACTCCAGTATACATAAATTAAAATAAATAAATAAAAAATTACTTACTAAAAGGCATTTCAAGGGACAGGTTTATAGAATTAAAGGAAATAGAAATAGTGGATAGTTTCACTTATATTTAGGATAAAGAGTGTATAAAAGGTCAAGAAAAGGCAAAATTTGCAAACTGACCGTACAGCTTTGATTAATAGGACAAGGATAACGTAAAATCAAGAACCAAATCCTCAAAGCTGGCTGTTTCTAATAAATCTTTCCCCCAACCCTAAAAACTTGGGATGTGGCACAATCACATTTTTGAATGAATTCTGTCTGACCATTGCCTTCTGACATGTTATATTACTCCATTTTATATTTTGTCAAAAAGATCTTTACAGCATGTCTCCAAAGTCCTTCCACTTCTGCTCACTTTACCAGAATCTAGGGTTACCTTCCTTGCCTGGGATGGAACTTGTGCTGCAGTGACTGCCAACAGCTTGATAGTGCTGTGACTCAACCCTTTGCCCCTCAACTGGATATTTTCATTGCATTTTAAAATATTTGTTGTTGAAGTGATTCATACTAAAGACATTTTTATAACATAAGAATGTGGAGTCATGATATCTGCCATTCAGCTTAAGAAATAGAATATTACTGTATTTTAATTTTTTTAAAGATTGACTTTTTTATGCACTGAACAACTGGGGTGGTCCAGAGCTTGTGGGGTGGTAAGAGGATTCATCAGAGGCAGGTGGGGAGCAGAACAGGCAGATCTGCTACAATACACTACTGAGGGGAACAGGGGACAAGACAGGATAGATCTGATGTACCATGTGGGTCAACCCCTTGGAAGGGATCGAACTCAGCCACATTAGTGGAGCATGATAGCACTAAAACTTAAATCCTATGCCACCAGCAAGGCCCTTTTTGAAGTGTTTTTTAAGGACCCTCCATATCACATTATTTTTTCACTAACTTAAGCATTCACCATGTGTATTTTTTTTTTTATTTACAAAAGTTTATTTTTACATCATTTTGTGCATTTTTTTTCCCATCTCGATTGTAATCCCCACGGGTTTCCCATCACCAAATTACCCGTGTGCCATCTCCATAATCCCGTATATTTCCCTCCCCCCACCCCGTTTTTGATCCCATTCCCCACTCCACCCCCACAAAATGTCTCTGGTATATGGCACCATGTGTATTCTTTTTTTTTTTTTTTTAAAGATTTATTTATTTGTGCATACAGAACTGGGGTATAGGCCAGAGGCTCAGGGGCGGCGAGAGGCTTCACCAGAGACAGAGTGGGGAGCAGAACAGGCAGATCGACGAAGTACACTGCTGAGGGGAGCAGCGAGCGGGTCCGGAGAGGTCTGCCACGCCATGTGGTCACCTCCGGGCAGGCGGGAATCGAACTCATGCGGAAGCGGCTTTAGATTCTCAGTGCTGTGCTTTAACCCGCTGCACCACCAGGGAGGGCCACCATGTGTATTCTTATGGACACGCAGGTATTTTCTAGAATAGTCTGACTTTACTGATTATGAGAATAACCAAAAGATAAAAAGTTATTATGCCTGTTGAAATAAGAAAATTATTATATGAGGACAGGACCCAAGTAGCGGAGCCAATTTAACAGGCTCTGGCCAGGCTGTCACTTTAAGCTCCATGCACAGAAGCACTGAGAGCTTTTGGTTGCATGTTCTTCAGAGATCACCAAGACAGTAGGAGAGGGGGTTCCTTATTAATGAATTAAAGATTAATTCATCTTTAAGTTGGTGTTTGCAAATGATGTCCAGTGGAGTAGAGGTG